CCTTTGCTCACAGGGCAGATGTTCCAGGCCCCTGATCATCCTGGTAGCCCTGCGCTGGACTCTCTCCAGCAGCTCCACATCCCTCTTGTACTGGGGAGCCCAGAACTGGACGCAGTCTCCAGATGTGGCCTTACCAGGGCTGTGTTAGGGGGACGATCACCTCCCTCAGCCTGCTGGAGACGCTCTTCTTAATGCCCCCCAGGATCCCGTTGGCCTTCCTGGCCACCAGGGCACACTGCTGCCTCATGGTCATCTTGTTGTCCACCATGACACCCAGGTCCCTCTCTGCGGGACTGCTCTCCAGCAGGTGTCAGTCTGTTCTCCAGAATAACAACAGATAGGACAAGAGGAAATGGGCTCCAGTTGCGGCAGAGGAGGTTCAGGTTAGATATTAGGAACAGTTTTGATATGGAAAAAGTGGTAAAGCATTGGAACAGGCTGCCCAGAGAAGTGGTGGAGTCACCATCCCTGGTGTCAGTCAAAAAAAAATTGTAGATGAGCTGCTTAGGGACGTAGTTTAACAGGCATAATGTTGAATGATTTACAGTTGGACTTGATCTTTTGAAGATCTTTTCCAACTGTAATGATTCTGTGATTTAGCTGTAGCTAAAAGTCCTTTCTCTGGATATATCTAATAAGGATTCCTTTCAAGATCAGGAGGATGAAGGCTTGAAGTTTTGTGATGTGCTCTGAAAGGTTTGGGGACACCAGCTTTGAAAAGTATTTCGTAATTCCCTCAGTATTAATTCAGTCTCATTTTCCATTCTCATCGTTGTTTCTTGAGTTCCATAAAAGGATGTCTGACCTAATTTCTTTCCTTGCTATTTTGTTCTTAACAGACACTCAAAATTCAGTACCATCATTTCTTATTTTTTCTTGGTCTGCAACATGTATTTTCAACACAGTTCAGTTATCACATATATAGTTTTCAGCTTTGCTATTTTTTTTCTTTCACTAGTTTTTCACTGGAATTTTGTTACTTCAGGCAGTTTAAAGAACTGTGCACAATAAATGGCATTTGATTTTTAAATACAAAGTTATCAAAAGGCTGCTATCTGTAAATGTGTAACTGAAGTTAAGAGGAATTCAGAAAGTGATTTCTGGTTTATGTTATTCCTTTACCCTCCTTCTCTGAGTGGCCTGGTGCCATGATGAGAGAACTAGCTAAGGCTCTAGGGAAATCAGGGAAGGAAGTCAAGTCATAACACATGGTTTCCTAGATCATACAGAGGCTAGTTTTGTAAAGGAGCTTCTATTACATTTCATTGTTCAAGGAGTCCTTCAATTTTGTGATTGTTATTTTAATTAGCAGCTAGAAGTGAAGATATTTATGGTAATATCTTGCTACTTATTGAAGACTTGGCATAG